TCTGAGTGCTGATAGAGTAATAACTCTATCCATTCCTCTGCGTGCGTATATGTGTGCTGTCTTAATAACGTGAGGAAAAAAAGGATACAGGAGAGAGCGGAGAATGTGTATAAAATGAATACGTACTTGACCAGGTCTATGCGGTTGTTGATTGCCGCCCAGTGCAGGAGTGTGACATTTTCTTTATCCGGCTGACGCACGTCATATCCGGCCTCCACCAGCTCACGGCATCGCTCGAATATCCCGTACCTGAGCACAAATACACCTTAAATGACACCATTTTGTCTATACTTTTTATGAAAACATAAAAGTCTTTGTATTGTGGCGCACAAGTTGTGTAAGTGCATTTATTCAGCAACCTCAATCATTAACAAGGTTGTGTAGCACTTCGTTTTCCAAAAATTTTAATCATTTATTTAATTTTCATATGATTAAAAGATTCATTAAAAGAATGTTTTATTGGGCCCAATTATAGTTAAATAAATACATAAATGAATTAAGTTTATATAAATACATTTTTATAAATTAATTGGACATGCTCTTTCGATTATTAAAATTTAATTAAACCATTAAAATGGAATCCAGAAAAATTCAAATGCAAAACACAGAATTTTGTAAATCTAAAACGGAACACATTTCATAGGGTCTTAAAAATGTAATTTTTGGTAAATTTTTAATAACTTATTGCTAAGTTGTGTAAGTTCCATGATTTTTAATTATTAAACATGACTTCTGATTACTAACATTTCATTTAACCATTAAAACAGGGTCCAGAAAATTCAAATGAAAAAAAATTTAAAAGAAGAGAAGTCCATAAAAATTAAAACAGCAAAAAATAATTAAATTATAAAAAAATAAAATAGAATTTGGGAAAAAATAAAAGAGATTTCATAGGGCTCTATAATGGGGGATTTAAACTCTTGACATCTGGCAACCTCAAACGTGAAAACTCTTGGAGGTCTATTTTATCTCCTCTTTTATGTTGAAGGCAATATAGAGAAATTTTGGATATACAGAGTTTTTATTAGTCATGGAAAAAAATTATATTTTTTTGTTATAGTTTTTGTTAAATTTAACACTAGCCAAAAAACAAAGTGTCAAAAATAAAAAGAAAAGTCTTTTGCGTTCACTGATAATACAGAATCATGCTGCTCATATGACGTAGTTTTGTCGACATATTTGTGATCATTATCTAGTTGTTTCTGGGTGAGGGGTATTTGTGTAGACGGTCGTTCCAGTGTGTGTGTAGACTCACTGGGTGGCTTTGATGATGTCCCAAGTGCTGTAGTCGTCCACGTGGCTCTTGCGGCTGACGCTCTCGCTGTAGTCATGGTTATAGTGACTCTGGGGTTTAATTTCCTGCGGAAGAGAATCATAGTCAGTTCATCTCTATTAGGGTTGGGTATCGTTTGAATTTTATCGATTCCGATTCTGCT